AGGGGGTCATGTCTATATTGTCGTGATATGGTGATCCTTAATCATATCATTCATACACCATATATTTACCTTCTATTATTATGCAACATTATTGTAATTATCATTAGCATCATTTAGAATCACAATTGTAATTATTAGAATGATTCTAAGATCATGATTGTACATCACTACATGTATTTAAAGATACATGATCTATGGAATAATACATAATATTCAATATCATTTTCTCTCTCCGCTTCTTATAGATTTGAATCAACTTTGGCTTCACCATAGGAGAAATACATAAGATAAAAGTATTACTTATTTGTTATAAATCACTCATCTAGGTGAATGGACATCACCAAATACTCTTTTTTCTTTGTTCTTTCATTAACTTCAATTATAAAAATATGGTTAGTTCCTTATAGGAAACTAATTTGCAAAAGAACTACAAATTAAATTAATACTCAATAACCGATTCGCATTTTTTTTATCAAACCATGAGAATTCACTACGCCAAAATTCGCATTTAACAACGTTCATTCAACAACGTTTCCTAGCACAACGCTGTTAAATACAAGGCGGAAGATAATCAACAACGCTCTTTTAAGCAAGCGTTGTTAAAGGTGATAGGCGAATATAGCTTCAACGTCGCTCTTTGAAGCAAGTGTTGTTGTATGTTTGCCTATGATATTCAACAACACTCTTTTAAGTAAGCGATGTTGATTTGAATATATTCAACATGACTTGCTTAAATGAGTGATGTTAAAGATGACATATCAGCAGCGCTCATTATAATGAGCGTTGTTAAAACTCACACATTTAACATCGCTTAAATAAGTGTTGTTAAAGGTAACATTCAACCACTACAACATTTTTGATCTATGACAACGCTTTCATTGCCTACGGTTTTAAAACCATGGCCGAAGACTATATTAGGCCACAGTTTTTTATTTTATTGTCATAGTTGTTTATTTTTTATATTTATATATTACGGTTCTAGAACCGTTATCATAAAGTACGTTAGACAACATTTTTTTAATAATTTTTTTATCTACATTTTGGCAAAATCACCAAACTGTTTTATATTTCATTTTGCCTATACCTCCATTGCCTCCATTGTTGACTAATCACTACAAACCCTACATTCTCCATTGGTGACTAATCATTATAAGTTCATCCATGAAAACCATGAAAATAGATCTTTAGAATTTATAGTTTTCACATAATAAGAATCGTTGTGGATTACCTATTTCCATGGCGATATGATCCTCCACTATGTGTTGTGTGTTGTTCTTGTCAATAGAGAAACTCTTTTATCTATTTCCCTTCCTTTATATGTTCTTCCTTTAGTGATGGCTGATAGAGGCAATATTTATGGGCAGAGATAGGGACAGTGTTTCAAGTCCTTTTTCAGATGAGTATAGTGCTTCTATCAAGCACTATATATAGACTCTTTCTCAAGAGTCTTACCACTTCATTAACAACTCTCCATTCAAGAATTATGTCAATCCAACAAATAAATGGTATGTCTCTTCATATCACAAGAGACATTCTTACAATCATATGAGTAGATTTTAAGGGTTTTTGGATACTTTTCCCTGATTAGTGTGAGACCTGAACCACCGCCATCAACCAAACCATTTTCATGATCTTCGATCGCCACACCTCCACTGATAGCGGTTGCAATTCATGAGCTTCGACCGCCGCACCTGAACCACTGCTATCAACTAATCCTTGAGATTTACTGCCCTTAAGTTTAATGTTCTCTTTCCCATTCCTTCTTATGTTTTTTTTTTAAATTTCTCTTTCCTTAACATTAATTGTTAAGTAAGCTTCATTTGAGATCTTGGAATCTGCGTAAGGCTAGAGATATATGATTTGCATTGTGATTTGTGTTAACATTGTTGAATAATGAATTTTAGTTAGAAATTGATGTGTGGTTATGTGATGCATATAAGGTGTTCGATGAAATGTTTGAACTTCATAAATGAATTTTTGAATGAGTCTAGAAAATTAAACAACGGTTTTCTAGTTACAAATTTTTAGTTAGAAATTTTTTAATTGGAAATTTTTTAACCTCAAAAACAATGATTTTTTGCTTTTTGGCAACGGACCGTTACCATAGGTCAAAAATATTGTAGTGAACAACGTTCTCATAAGTAAACATGATTATATTGAACAGCGCTCGCGTAAATAAGCACTGTTAAATGTGATATATCAACAACACTTAATTCTAACTCTTCTTATCTTAGTTTCTCTCTTCAAACAAGTTATTAGTTTTTGGTTTCTCTCTTCGAGCATAAGGTAAATCAATTGTCTTATTTTACCTCATTTATTTCTCTTTGATTCATTTTTGTTGCTTGCATTTACATCTATGTTAATTGTTTATTTTATAATATAGGAAATGTCAAGGTTTAATCTACATGAACTTGTTGGTGATTTACCAAACTTGTAATCTCTGTATGTATTTCTTGTATTTGATTATTATTTTTTCATCTATATTTTCTATGTAAATTTTGATTTCATTCTTATCATATTGAATCTGAATTGTGTCTTTCTGTCCTCTTATTTCTTCAGTTAAGGAAGAGAAGAAATTCATGGATTTGTCCTCTAAATCTTCATCACTTTCGTCTCTTTCATTACTGCATATAATCTTCTAGACATGATTGTTATGTGTTTGATAAAATGTCTAAGAGAGATTTTGCCTTATTTAAAATGAGCGTTATTAAATGAGTGGTGTTAAAGGTGACATATCAAAAACACTCATTACAATGAGCACTTTTAAAAGTCATGTACATATATAATAGTGCTTGTTGGAGGTGGCGTACATACAACAGCGCTCATTACGATAAGCGCTGTTAAAAGTTGACATACAACTAGGGGTGAGTGTGGGCCGGGTTAGGACGGGTTAAGGTTTGTCCTTACCTAGCCATAAATGTTGTTCGACCCATTTTTATGAACCTGAACCCGACCCTAGATCCGGAGTTAACTCGACCCTAAATATTCATAGGGTCAGCCTTTAAACCTGAACCCGACCCTAGACCCGATTAAATATAACATATATTCATTTTATATAAAGTCTTCTAAATATTATTTATTATTGTGAATATGTAATTTAACATATAAAATATAATATGTGTATATATATTATTAAACATGTACATATGATGAAAATTTAGAGAATCAATGATATTTTCGACCAAAAAGTATCATTACTCTGTATATATTTGAACAGAGCCACATACAAACATCATAAGTGAGTGACCATGGGACGGGTCATGTTTGGTCCCTACTCGGCCCTAAATATTGACTGGGTCTAATTTTTGAACCCAAACCCAGCCCTAGACCCGATGAGACCCAACCATTTTTTAGGACCGATCATGATCGGGCCATACCGGGTGAGCAGGTAGGGTCGGGTCCTGCTCACCCCTACATACAACAATGCATGCATAAGTGTTGTTAAAGCATATCATATACTACTGCGCTCACATAGACCGCATCCGGAAGTGCTGTTATATATATCTGAAATGTGCGCTATTGATTTACATCTATGATGTAGTGATTGTGTTTGAATGGTATAAACCCAATTTACTTTGTCATATAGTGATCATATTTGACTGCATGCTTTCTTTATGCAGAAACATGTTTGTTAAATAAAATGCATGGAAATTTAGAAGATATATATGTGGTACCTTTGAGAGAGACTAAAGCTGATGGGCGAGAATAGGGATGACAATGGGTCTTGATGGATCTGGGTAGTGTATTACCCAGATCCGCCCCGTTACTTCATTTTTGGACCCAGACCCGCCTCAGATTCGTGCTGATACCCGTTGGGTATACTACCAACGGTCCTTGGGTACCCATAAATTAAAAAATATTAAAAATAATTGCAAGTAATTTATGCACTTGCGTATTTGTTTCCTACGATCTTATATGTTATTTAGGCAATTATCAAGAGAAAAAATTATAAAACTTAATTTAAAGTTTTAAACGCAACTTAATTGACTATTAAACACAACTCATTTTATTAAAACAAATATTAAAAACAATTTCAACATTGAAATGAAAAATTCTTTCAGTAATAACTATTCAATTAACATAATATTACATCATACATATGAATTAACAACATAACTTAGTTGCTTAACAAAATAAAAACACAATTTGACAACATAACTATCACATTTATAAATTAATATGATATTATAATTATAGACTAATATGATATTACAATATAAATTAACATGATATTACAATTATGTTGCTATATATATATATATAAATAAATATAAATTTAGGAAGAAATAGCGGGTTCTGGTACCCACGGTTCTGGGTACCTCATTATTCGGACCCAGACTCATATAACAGCGGGTCTTAAAATTGCGGGTTTCAATTACCCACGGGTCCAAAACATGGACTCAAACCCGACCCGTTGCGGGTATTTTTAGCGGGTACCAGTAAATCCGGGTACCCATTGCCATCCCTAGGCGAGACATAAGACATAAGAAAAAATAGAGTAGTGGAGAATCTTTTTTATATATTAAGCGAAATTAATGATAATAATTTATAATGAAAATAGTTAAAGCATAATATACGTGACTATTTTTTATGTTAAACAACGTACAAAAAATGTTATATTTTATTTTAGTAATTGAAATTGTACTAAGAAATTTGGAAAAGTGGACAAATAAATCATATAGATGGTAGAAAATATTGCCCCATGAACACTCATAAATTTAAATACAGGTGGATTTGATATAAGAATTTAAATGACAGAAAATATATCATATAAATAACATATAATAAACACTTATGGTAAGGGCCTTGTTATGTCCCATGCACCACTTTATTTCTAGTACCTAGTTGTTAAAGAAGGGATGTGCTATGGAATATCCTATAGCTTTTGCATATATGCATGTCCAAGTTTTATCATCACCTACATTATATATATACATGAAAATCCAACAATTGTTCATCAACTAAGCTCACAACACAAGTCACAAGAAGGAGTTATGTGTGGGTGCATCACTGGGCAATGACTTCTTTGGCTGTTGGCACTTCAACTGCATCTCATTTAGGTGATTATGCTGAGAAGCTTAGCTCACTGCCAAAGAAGATTTGCCCTGCAATTCACCCATGCACACACAAAAATTGCCTTCAAACATAAAAAAAGGTATAGGTATTATAACATGGTCCAAGGGCCATGTCACATGTTCATGTATGATTTTGCAATAATATATGTTGTCATTGGACCATCAGGAAAGAATTGCATTATGCATGGATTTTGATTGAGTTATAATGTTTGCACATAAAATTTGGTGCACATGCAATTGATAGGGTGAGTTGGGCAATTGCTTTTTTGAAACCATTATTGTTTCTAAGGATGACAATGGGTCTGGATGGGTCCGAGTGTACTACCCGGACCCGCCCCGTTCTTTTACATAATATTTAAAAAATTGCAAAAAAGTTATAAATTGTAAAAAAATTATAATCCAACGTGTGTGAGTAAAAAAAGAAGCAAATGATAAAAAAATTATAAAATGTAATTAAAACATAAGTCACAACTTTAAATTGTACTTAAATACAAATCGTTTTTTTACTAAGAACATAATTTAAAATAAGACAATAACACATCAAATGTCTAGGATCCTTCCATCAACAACACATGTATCAACTGGTTCCTAAAAAATAAAAATATACAATTCAAAGATATATCAATTAACTTTATAAATTAGAACATCGATAAATTTACTATCATCATCATCGATATCATCTTGTATAATATTTGTAATAAAATTGAAGTCCTCTCTTGATTTAGAAGATCCTGAAAACATAATAATAGGTGTATCAAAATATAGTTTTATAATTTATGAATAATTAAATTAATAAATTACATTACCTCTGACATCAGTCCATAACCAATCTTGAAGGCACATTAATGCTTCCAATGTATGTGCGCATAATCTACTGCGATGAGGAGTAAGGAATCGACCAATAGTACTGAATGCAGACTCCGAAGCAACAGTAGATATAGGAATTGCATGCAAGTCCTTAGCAATCATTTGCAAGGAAATTGAGTTAAGTTTATATATATATAAGAACGGGTCTGGGTACTAGCGGGTCTGGGTACCACATTACCCAGACCCGCCCCACTCAACAGAGGGTCTGAAAAATACCCAGCCTCAAATACCCATGAGTCTAAAATAAAGACCCATACCCTACCCGTTGTGGATATATTTTGCGGGTACCCACAGATCCGGGTACCCATTGCCATCCTTAATTGTTCCTCACATTTTTCAATGTTGCAAGGTATATGATACTATTCAGCAATATATGATACTATAAGCTTGCGTATGAATATATTTTTAGTTTTAGTTTATAAACTGTAAAAATATCATTTGTTCTTCCGAAACTACTTGGGAATTTGATAACTATATTCATGTAACATAATAGACCTTATGGAAGTTAGACAAGGCTGACGTATGAGGGGGTGTGTGGCAAATGTGGAGTTCATGACCTATAATTAATTATGCGCCCAAATATTGTTTTCCATGTACAACTAATTTATCACTATAAGATAAGTATGTTATTATTATTATTCTTTTTAAAATTTGTTGTGTTGTCGATTATTATTATTCTATGCATAAATTTGTTCAATAATTTGTTGGTTGTAATAATAAATGTTTTATATTATTATATAGTTGGTTTATAATTGAAATTAGGGTTTCACCTATCGTGAGAAACATATGAGAGCATTTAACGCTCATTAAGAATATAATTTATAAAGATATATTGGACTCAGGTCCCCAATAAGTTACTAAAATTTACCTATAAAAAGTTCTCCATATGTAACAATAGTTTAGCCAGAAAAGAATATGTATCTTACATTCTAACAAATTATATAAAATTTATTTGTTCATTATAAAAGTATTACATAATTAAATTATTTGATATATAAGTGTACACATTTTTATTTTACCATTACAATTTGTTTTAAGTCCTCAATTTTATTTGAATTGGTATATTCAAGATTCATATACTTAAATTAGTGGCCCAAATATTTTTCCTGTTACTAGGCCCACAAAATGTCAATATCAGCATTGAAAACACTATAGTGTTTCTTTTGCTTGGGAAAACACTAAATGGTTACAGAACTTTATTTCAGGACTTAGGGTAGTCGACAGTATTGCCAAGCCGTTGAAAATTTATTGTTAAAATTTTGTAGCAGTCTTCTTTTCTAAAAACAACAAGTATTCCAAAGGTGCTAAACATATGGAGGTGAAATACTTTGTCGTTAAACAAGATGTTCAGAAACTTAGAGTGTCAATTGAGCATATTATCACTAACCTTATTATTGCATACCCTTTGACGAAAGGGTTACCGCCCAAAATATTTACTGGCCATGTTAAAAATATGGGCATTATGTGTGCAAATGAATGTTGAACATTATGTTATTAATAAAATCTCAATATTTGACACTTTGGGCTCATTAATATTTAAGTTTCTGATTAATATTTTATTTTCATATTTTTTACACATGTCAGAGAATAGTAATATTGGAAATAAAATATTCTTTCTAAATGGCATTATTATGTGATTCTCATTAATGTGTCATGTTATGAATAAGGATAATATAGTAGTACATGGAAGGAACTATATCGGATAAATGATATACAACTGCCCCGACTCTTATTAGTTCTTGTTCTTAATCAAGACTTGTAATGTAATGAATATGGAAAACATATTCTGATTATGCGCATTATGTTTGATGTTTATAAAATCATGAATTGTATTATCACATGAGACAAGTGAGAGAATTTAAGAAATGCCTCTTGTGACATGGAGGGACATACCATTTTGTTCTTTGAATGACATAACTTTTGAATGGAGAGTTATCAATGAAATGGTAAGACTCTTGGGAAAGAGTCTATATATAGTGCTTGATGGAAGCAATGTACTAATTAGAAAAAGACTTAAAACATTGTCTCTATCTCTGCCCATAAAGTTTGTCTCTATCAGCCATCAATAAAGGAAGAACATAAAAAGGAAGGGAAGGAGATAGAAGAGTTTCTCTATTGACTAAGAACGACAGAGGAGGATGGTATCGCCATGGATATAGGTAATCCATAACCATTCTTGTCATGTGAAAGCTATAAATTCTAAAGATCCATTTATATATATGGTTTCCATAACAAAACTTACACTATTATGATTTATTTATTAAGATATAAGGAATCTCATATTTTATTTTATCATAAAATAAGAAGAATAATATAATTGATTTAATTTAAGAAGATAATACTATTTTGGATGAGTAATAGAATTTTATTGTTACTATATTCTTATTTTTATTGTTATGATTATTATTATTGTTATTATCAGTATTAATTTATATAGGTCAGGATATTATTTGTATATATTTAATTTGTTTTATTCTTATCATTTCATATGTTTATTTCCTTATATAATTTATGTTATTCTCTTAACTTAATAAAATGATAGAAATTGATATTTATATCATTAACATTATTCTTATGATGTTATTGATTGAAATATTTGATGTATGATAAAATTTTAAAGTTGACAATTGATAAATGATTCAGATTAAAATATTTTATTTTTAATACAAATACGAGTTAATTTTAATGAAGATTCGAATTAGTATAAGAGGATAAGAGATAAAATCTTTTAGTTTTAAGTTATAGTTTGCAAACCATGAAACGTAGTCGTTAGAGAAGGTGGTTGTAGAGAAATGGAAAATAGAGGAGATGAAAACACATGAAAAAAGACTTATCTATGGATCATAGGGAACATAAATACTAATGAAATATTAAACTCCGTGAAAGAGGTATATGAAAATAAATAAGGCGCTTTCTAACATGCGAACTATAATTTAGTTCGCATGGATGCAGACTAATTTATAACCGTATGATTAAAATTTGTGTTTACCGGTTAACCGATGTCCATCATTTTGAAGTCTCTCATTTTCATACCGACTTCTATGGACATTGTGATGTTTCCCTATGAAGTCGGTTTGCAAAGTAATAACATGTCTTCATTGTGATGTCACTCCTTGCCATACCGACTTCTATGGAGAATGTGGTGTTTCCAATAAAGTCGGTTTATAGTGTGGTAACATGTCTCACTTCTATGTTCTTCATAGAAGTCGGTTCATGAATTAGTAACATGCTAGTAGTGGTTTAATGCTACAAGAAGCTGGTCCAACCTGCAAGTTTAAAATAAAGCTGGTCCAAGCCTGACACCCCTGCAACCCAATAGTAGTATCTGCCAAAAAAATTAGACAATAAAATAGTTTTTTAAAACATAAATTTTGTTACACTTCAATAAATAAATAAATTTTTGTACCCATGAATAAATAAATTTTTTACACTATGACACAATAATTACATACAACTTTTTACACTTCAATTTTTTTTCTCAACACATAAATTACATACAAATGTAATTGGCCCACTTAGATGTGCTATTTCCCTGGACCGACTTCTGAAAAGGCTAAAAAGAAGCCTGAAAAGCTGATTGGACAGGCACGCGTGAAGGAAAAGGTAGAAACATTTTCTCAGGGTACGTGACACGAAAGTCGGTCTGGGGAAAAACCGACTTCTATATGGTTAAATGTGACCCTTTGTGTCACCGACTTCTGTATAGGCCAAATTCACTCAGGCCCAAACCGACTTCTACATTGGTGGATCCCTTTCTTTCCCAAACCGACTTCTACAAAATAAATTCACCGATAACAAATTCAATGGCTGAGATTTCATATTTATAATCCAACGATTTAAAAAAAAGTTCGCATCCACGCAAACTAAACTTTAGTTCACATATTAGAATCCGCCAATAAATAATATTAGTTGAATATTATTATATGATTACATGTACATGTATAACATTCCGTCCAATCTCTCATTCTACTAGGAAATCTATAATTTCATGTGATTATTTTAATAAATTATATTCATATTCTACTTAGAATATGTCTCTGCTTCAAAGTTATACAATATGAAGAAGTGTCGTCTTCTTGATTTTGGATGAGTTTTGATGAAAACACTAACATTAATAATACAAAGAAAAATGATTAAAGATTTGATGCACGGAAAGCAAGCATCACATTACTATAT